AAGCATTTAATTTAGTTACGTGCTTTATTGGCTCCCAATTGAAATTCGTATAAGAAATGTCATTTTTCAACTTGTTTTGGTATATCAATTACTTTATGATGTTACCAACTCAAAATAAAAATTCAATAGGCCAATGACCCAATTCGTAACACACTATTTAATCTTATATAAGCATTTAATTTAGTTATGTGCTTTATTGGCTCCCAATTGAAATTCGTATAAGAAATTTCATTTTTTAACTTATTTTGGTATATCAATTACTTTATGATGTTACTAACTCAAAATAAAAATTCAATAGGCCAATGACCCAATTCGTAATACACTATTTAATCTTTTATAAGCATTTAATTTAGTTATGTGCTTTATTGGCTCCCAATTGAAATTCGTATAAGAAATTTCATTTTTTAACTTGTTTTGGTATATCAATTACTTTATAATGTTACCAACTCAAAATAAAAATTCAATTACCACAATATTTTATAATAAGTAACATGATATTTGGTATATTTTTAATTATAAAACATAAAATGTGGTGGAATATTTGATTGAACTCAATTAAAAATATTGAAATAAAACATTAAATCTTCAAATTACACACTTTTTGGTCCTATTTAGCACATATTTATTACATCAAGAAAGGAATTATTTTTCTTTTTCTATAGCGTAAGAATATCCAGTTCATTGAGTATAATCTCATAATGCTCACATTGTTCTCATGAGATATAACCAAAAACGAGAGGCGGTCATATCATAAAAAGCAAAATGATGATGCAATACATATATATATATATAATCACTAAAATTATAATGTTATGATTAATTAAATTAAAACCCACAAACAATATTGATTGCAAATATATCCCCACCACCTTACTATCAAAGTAGAAACGTTTTTTTAACCATTATTGTTAGTCTTAATTAAGATTATTGATATTAGATGTGCAAAAGAGGTTAATATAATTAATTAGTATGTTATGTATTAATTTAAACTGTCACATCAATCTATTGTATAATTAATTGCAATTAAAGAAGAATAAAAGTTCATTTTTCTCATATTAATATTAATTGTAACACATGAAATAATTACAAAGTTGGAATATACATGAAAATAAATTTTTCTTATTAAAAAAAGGTTTGACATGTCCTACGAGGACGATTCAATGCTCAAGAAAATTTGACTCTAATTTAATTAATTAATGACACTTCGACAATGGTGCTCACATCTAATCATAACTAGTGCCACTTAATCAAAGTCTATATATAATTACAAGGAGAATGTTTAGTTTTTTTTCTGTTGTTTAGAGATAGAAATTTATTTTATTTTATGGTTTATATTTTTAGTATAAAATTTTATTAAATTATTAACTTTGTGCTTTAAATTTTACTAATCTTAATAATTTTTTAACTTATAATTTGAAATGGTAGTAGAATATCATATTAATCAGTGTTTTAGTTTTACTTTTAAAATGTAAATGTTGATAATTCTAAATTGATTATTAATTTATAATTAAAATACAAATAAAATATAAATATACTTACATTTTTAGGTTGGAATTTTGGATGTCTATCTATCTAAAAGAAAAAGAAAAAAAAAATCTGCAATAGATCTTTGTTAAAGTGATTGATAAGCATATCATATGATGGGAATTATAAATATATACCAACAATAATTGGTCATAACAGTATATAATATATATATATATATTTTTTTTTGTCAAATGCCAATACGGCGTCGTTTTATCAAATGACAGAGAAAACCATCCTTGTTTTCTAGTTTGGCCGAAAATTAAGGAAAATTGGGTGGGGGCTGTAAGAGTAGAGAGGGGGAGGGGAAGAATATGAGTGAAGGAGAAGAAGAAAGAGATGAAGCCGAGAAGAAGAAGAAGAAGAAGAAGAAGAAGAAGAAGAAAAGAGAAGCAACAACATCCAACAAAGCTCAGTCTATTGAAATTTTGTCAACTCGGTGAAGATGAAGCGGATTGGAGTGAAAAATATAAGAAGTCAAAGAGGCAAAAAAAGAGAAATGGAAAATAAATGTGGAACTTCGGGAGAGCAAATGCAAAGGGAAATAAATGCAAAATGGGAAGAGGAGCCAGCTGACAATTTAAGAAGAAAGAAACGGACAGAAAGAGAAGTGGAAAGAACAGAGAAAGGTTAGTGAAAGGCTTTTTTTTTTTCCATTGCTTTTGTTCTTGTCTGAAACCTTGTCAACTAAATTGTGTTCCTCTGCTTGAATGTTTTAACTGTTATATTATTATTTTTATAAATTATAAATGTTTTCAAATTTTCATTGCTTGATTTTTCTCGTGTTATTTACTGACTATAGATGTCTACAGACGAAGGTTTTGAGACCATAGGTTTCTTCTTCAGCAAACTTTTATGCTGTCATTGATGTTGGGTTCCTACAGTTAGATTCACTTTTAATATTTGTTTACTTTTGGTGCTTCAATGGTGACATTGATTTTTAGTAAACATTTTAAGAATGGTAGATAATTAACAGCTAAGTTATTTGACTCACAATTCTCCTAAAATTTTGATTAAAGTTATTTAAAAAAAAGAAAAGATGAGTCATAATCCAATGGTTATATGCAATGAGACCCTGGAAAGCTTTATTTTTTAATATTATACACTGACTTCACCTATTAAAATGTAATCTGGAGACCAATGAGCTTGTAGTAGTCTTTTATGCCGAATGAAATTATTCAAGTAGTTTTTAGGGAACTTTGAGGTAGATAACAAATTTTCATCAGAAATGAAAAATGAATTTTTTTTTTCATTTTTTTTTAAAAAACATCCCAGAAAGCATTAGATTGTAATGTTGTATGGGAGTTTTTATTTATAGCACAAGTTCGCAAATGAACTAAATTTTGCAGGACATACATCTTGGTCTCTTCCCTCTTTTAAGAATGTATTTCATGTAGACGGCAATGAACTAAATTTTTGGATGGTGAATAAAATGGATTAGGTTAATATTTGACCCTAGTTTATGATTAAAGCAGGAGTTACTGTCAATTCCAGCTTGGAGTTTGAATTTTCACATTTGTTTTAATTAGCTGTTTAATGACTTATTCTTTACAACTGGCTATTTTTTAAAACATCCTAAGCTCACTCATGATTTCGAATCTGTTTAACCTTCTTAAATAGTCCTTTAAACCTGGTTTTGGCTCCATTACAAGTATTTTAAATATGTTTGAATCCTCAATTCTGCTTTAGTACCTTATTTTCTCTCTCAATTTTGGTTTTAGCTCTCCTTAATATGTCTAAGTCTGCTATAGGTTTTCACTTTGGAACCTCAAATCCATTTTGCAATTTCAAATCTGTGTTGGGGTTGCTACTCTTCTCACTAGTTCATGAATCGTATTATGATCCCAATTTGCCTTGAAGGTTGAAGTAGTCTTGGTTTACATATTATTTTTGTGGGTTATGAGAGTTTGAAATTGATTTGAATTCATTTTAATATTCCGAACTCGCATTGTCTTGGCAAGTTTATTTTGTCTTATGTGTCTTTTTTGGCATTCCTAAATTGATTTGAGATATTTCTTATTTTAAACCTACTAACGGAACCTCTGAATAAAAGATCCACTTGGTATTTATCCTGTCTTTTTTTTTTCTCTGTACTTCCCCCTTCCTTAGTGATGATCTAATGAAGGTTACTCAAGTTTTTAAAAGAAATGGAAGGCATGATTTTCTTTAAAAAAAAAAAAATCTGTTTCTTGACGTTTTGAGCAAGTTCGGGTGATGTGAGTCAAGGATGCAAGATAGTGGGAATAACTTGCATTAGTTTTGGCATTCTAGTCATGTTCGCTTAGTTCATTGTGTAGTTTTGAGAGTCTTTTTCCTACGAAGAAAACAGTGCCCAGGTTGACAGATTTTGCTTCCCTTTAAACCTCGATTTTACTTAGACACTAAGTTTGGTACTGTTCTAGGAACTTTGGCATGCTCCACTCATCATTTCTGAAGTATTGGGGTCACTGTTTTGACAGTTAAGGGGTGCATCTGAACATGTTCTTATGAAAATGATTCCTTTCTCAAAACAATGTCTTAATGTTTTGTTTTTGCATGTCTTGAGGGAAAACTTTTGGAGTAACGAAATACATGGTTGTTTTACCCTTTTGCTGCTGTTCGGGTAACTGAACTTCAGAACTTATTTGCTGTTCGGGGGTCTAAAATGAGTGATTTGATGTGTTTTGGGAATCTTAAATCGCAAAATGCGTTTGTTTTGAAGAAACAATGTTAGACCTCCATGAAACTACTGTTTAGAATCTATGAGAGTCTAGATTCAAAGAAAAAGTTTGATCTTTAAAAAGGTTTTCCAGTACATGCTTGGGAACCTTTCGAATGAGTTAGTCTTGTTCCAACCTGTCTCATATAGGTTGGGTTGTTAGATTATTTATCATTTTTGGTTCTTAGTCCTTTATCCTTGGCCCTAACTTGCAAAATTTGTTTGCACGAATTAAGTAATCCTTTGCTGTTGGCTGAGTGCCTCATCCTTCTATTCAGTACCACTTCTCAAGCTTAGGTTCTCTTGATCAAGATCAGTGCACGTTTTGGTGTCTAATCTTGTCTGGAATGGATTAGTGACGACTCCTATTTCTTTGTTTATGTTTTTGCTGGACCTTGCCTCTGCGTCACAGTTGTGACAGGATGATAGAAAGAGAAAAAGAAGAGGAACAAAGATGAGCTAGATTTAGCTATACGACATAGAGAAGCCAAAAAAGAAAAGAGGAGCTTTTGGTAAAGAAGAGGATTTAGGTTTTTTTAGCAGATTAAAGTAGAGATTCTGAGTATTATCAAAGGGAGAGGTAGAGAGTTAAGAGAGGAAGAAATTCAAATGAGGAGATCCAGAGAAAGGGTTGTTGGAACCCTAAGGAAAACATTACAGGATTTCCAATTTGAAACCCTTAGGTAAGATTTGTAGGCCTTGAATCTTTTTATTTAGTTTAATGTCATTATTATTAAGTTCACCTGGGTATATTTGTTATTTGTTTCAATTTGTTTTGTGAATTAGGAAGTTTCAGCATGAATTAAATCAGTTAATTACTACACATATATGTACATATATATAAGACTATTATTATTAATTGGTTTTATTAATTTACAAGTCACTTTCCATGAGCGAGGAGAACCTCTCTATTGTCGTTTCTCTTTTCCAATATTGTTGAATGAATTTAGTAAATTTAGCAAATAATAATGTTTCTCATATAATATATTTTATGTTTTTTTTCCTAAAAGATCTCATACATGCATAAAAAATAGGTGCAAGTTGATTGAAGCTTGATAGAATGAATTTACGATTGCATCTAGGAGAATGCAAGGGGAGCTTTAATTTGGAGAAAGCAGTGTGCAATCATGGCTTCTTTATGATGCCTCCAAACTTGTGGAGTCCTTCCAAAAAGACACTTGAAAGGCCTTTACGCCTCTCCAATGTCTCTTCTTCAGTATATGCTTCAATCTCACACCCTTCGAACTCTACATTTCTTGTTATTCAACTACACCATATTCATAATATCTCCTCTTCTGACAAGCACGCCATACTGGTATGTCGCCAATTCCTCTCCTCTCTCATAAACACGTACAATATATACATGTGTATCCTACAGTGAACTTGTTTTACTGATGGTAGATCCTCATTTTTTTGGGAAAATATATATATTTTTTATCTAAATGTATATACACGATCAATTTATTGATAGTATTTCAGATAAATATATATATATGTATATATATAATGTATACATATATTTGTGTATATATATATAGGAACAAGTTGGAAGAATGTTGAGAATATCTAAAAAGGATGAGGAAGTTGTGCGAGAGTTCCAGAAAGTGCATGAGGCGGCAAAGAACAAGGGTTTTGGTCGAGTTTTTCGATCTCCTTCTCTCTTTGAAGATGTCGTCAAGTCTCTCCTTCTTTGCAATTGCACGTATGTATGCAATTATATATGTACATGTATTATGTGGTCGTTTATAACTAATGAAATTACATGTATGCATTAATTACAATTAGTTTTGTTTTAATTAATACAGATGGGGAAGAACATTGAAGATGGCAAAAAGTCTTTGTGAGCTCCAATATGAAATTGTAAGAGGGATTTCCGTAGAAAAGAGAAAGAAAAGGAAGAGGACAACAAATAGAAGCATTAACGACACTATGAATCAAGAATACTTCAGCAAAGGCAATTTCCCAAATGCTGAAGAGTTGGCTGGTCTCAGTCCAGACTTACTTGAAGAGCGTTGTAAACTTGGTTATAGAGCAAACTATGTTATTAACCTTGCTCAACTAGTTAAGAGTGGGAGACTTGACCTTACTAATATTCAAGATTTGGTCAAAATTAAGGGCTTTGGCTCTTTCGTATGTGCTAATGTTTCCATGTGTATTGGATTTTACCAAAATATTCCTGCAGATACCGAGACTATGAGGCATTTGAAACAGGTTTGACTGAAATTAAAATTAAAAATTTAATCAATGTGTTAATTTTAATTTTCCATAAATATTAAATTTTTAATCTTTTCAGGTACATGGCTTGGAAACTTGCTCTAGGAGTACGCTGGTAAAAGACGTTAAAGCTATTTATGACAAATATTCACCATTCCAAGCTTTGGCATATTGGTAATTCAATTATCTACATGCACAAATAAATGTTGTCTTTTATATTGCATATGCATGCATGTAGCATCTTAATTTCACTTAATGTTGTATATATAGGTTCGAGTTGCTCAATTACTATGAAAGCAAATGCGGGAAGCTTAGTGAGCTACCATGTTCTAAGTATCCAAGTGTTACTGGAAGTGTGTTTGAGTGAAATTGAAATGTTGTATTTTGAATGGGATGTAGTTTGATTAATTAGATATATTTACCAAAATATTATAATGTTGTAGTTTGCACTAAAATTTTAGATTAGTTTTCCAACTACTATTGTATCTACTGTAAGGGTTCTATTCCACCTACTTTAGATTCTTTTGGTTGATACTTCTCTATTTTTTATATTTAATTAAAATTACGAGAAAGTTTTAGAAACTAAAAAATAAACATGCATACTAAATTGTTTAATTATTACATATATTAAGAAAAAATCTTAATTGTTAAAGATAATTTTTTAAATTTAATTTGATTGTTTACATCTAGTGAAACTATTGTAGTTATTATAGTTGAATGAATGAAATTAATGTTTTAACTAAACGAATATTAATAGAGTTGAAATTGAATTTGTGTTTCAGATATTTTAAATTAATTAAATAAAAAGAAAATTTAAGTTAAAAATGGCATAATAGCATTGGTCAACACATTAGAAAGTCGCATCAATTTACCCATCGAAAATTTGCACCATGTTGAAATTCCAGGAAGCCCACATCCACCCTAAACCCCCTCTTTTAACTTGGGATCCAAACAAATATCCCTGGGTTTGTTAGCATGCCAATCCAGACGAGTGGGTCAAACTTAACACGAATAACTCTTAAGAGAGGTTCCCCCCGTAACGGTTACTGGGGATGACTTAATTTGTGACAATTAGGGTAATTGAATTTTAGGTTTTATAGTCAACTTCAGCGCTTGTCAACTAAATACTTTCGAGATATTAACCCCTTAAAACCTCTAGCTTACTATAGCTCATGATGTTTCGATATTTAATCATTAAGATGGAGCCATTGCACATTTTGTGATCTCGGTTTTCAATTGAGTAGAATAAGAAGAAAAAAAAAAAAAAAAAAAAAAGGAGAAGAAACCAAGGAAAAGTAGAAAGAAAGAGAAGCAATGACACTCAATAAAGTTGAGGTTATTAGAGTTTTTGTCAGCTCAGTGAAGATAAAACGGATTGCAGTGAAAAATAAAAGAAATCAAAAAGTCTCCAACAAAGTGTGGAGTGCGCAAAAAAAAAAAAAAAAAAAAAAAAAAAAAGACGAATGTGGAACTTTGGGAGAGCAACATGCAAAGGGCAAAATGGAAAGATAAAACGAGAGAAGGGATATTTATGGAAACATCAATTTTAAATATACCGTGTAATTAATATCTTCGTACGTTTCATTAGTTGGTAACTGTGCGTTCAAAACTTTATGAAGGATTAAGATGTTACTGGATGATATTGTCATTTTAGATAAAATAATGACATACTATTCTTTTTGATTACTTTGTGCATTTTGATTTTTGTGCTGCTGCCACTACCTAATTTTTATAACAAATATTTTATTTTTTAATTTATTTCTCTTTACTTTTTGAAAAAAATAAGATTCAAATATTTGTAATCTTTATTTTTTAAAATTTAAAATTATATATATTGTAATTATTTGATTAGGGTCAATTTTGACTGAAAAATTTATAGTTTTCTTTACAAAATTTTAGATTTAAAGATACTATTACATTAATTTTTTTAAATACGGAAATTAATTTTTGTAGACAAATTTAATGATGCTTTTTCTTATATTGGACCTACAAAAAAATTAAATTTATATAATAAAATAGAAAATATTTGTTACCACTGGGACTAATTTTTTCAGTAATTTTCAGTATATTGTTATGACTAATTTATATACATTTAGATATTTTAATAAAATTAAAATATTTAAAAAATATATTTTATTGATATATTTAAATTTTTTTAAATAAGATTTTGTTTCAATTTTTAATAACCGTAAAGAAATAATAAGTTGAATCATTGAAATCTTAGTTGGGTCCCCATATATGAGCTCATGCTAATTAGGAATACATATTTTTTCTATAAAAAAAAAAGAAAGAGGGGCTCCTGTGGGCCCCATGTGTTTGCCATCTTGCTTTTTGCTTTGTTTAACGTTAACAGATTTGACCAATAAACTAACTCAATTTATTACTTTCTATTCAAAATACAATTTTTAAAAACTAATTTAATTTATATCAAGTAAAATTACATAT